CTGGCTGATTAAAAAGGAGTGGCAGGTCACGGTGCAGAGTGAGGTGTCTGTAAGCCCTTAAGTCTTCTTTGTTTTTTTTGGTGGGATCCCTCAGAAGAGCTGCAGATTGTCACCCCCGTGGATGCCAGCCTGGTTGTGGTGGTGGTTGCTGTGCCTTCAAAACCAGAACTGCTTTCTGTTCGTCCCTGCTGTTCCTATTACAAAGTTTGGACCAAGTTTTTCTGCTCTTTAGAGAGGTTATTTCGAGTGATTTGTGGAAATATCTTTGGAAAAAAAAGAGCCCATCTTGTCCTCAGCTGAGCAGTTTTGGGGGTAGAGTGGCTGGGAAGCTGCTTGGCAAAAAAGGACCTGGGGATGCTGGTGGGCAGCTGGCTGGAGGGGCCAAGGAGGCCACCAGCAGCCTGGCCTGGACCAGCACCTGTGTGGCCAGCAGGAGCAGGGAAGGGTTTGTGCCCCTGGACTCAGCATTGGGGAGGCCAAAGCTTGAGTACTGGGGCCAGTTTTGGGCACCACAGGATAAGAAAGACATCAAGGGGCTGGAGAGGGGCCAGAGAAGGGCAGCAAAGCTGGGGAGGGGTCTGGGGAACATGGGTTGAGAGGAGTGGCTGAGGAAACTGGGGTGCTTTAGTCTAGAGAAAAGTTGAGGGGAGACCTGGCTCTCTACCAGTCCTTGGCAGGAGGTTGGAGTGAGGTGAGGGTTGGTCTCTTCTCCCAAGTCACCAGTGACAGATCAAGAAGAAATGGGCTGAAGTTGGATATTGGGAAGAATTTCTTCCCAGTTCTTGTTTGAGTGACAGCTCTAGAACAGGCTGGGTCTACCAAAGAAGGGTGAAATATTGGATGAATTTTATGCAGTCTTTTGGGGGTTTATAAACAGATCTTGCTATCAGCCAGTTCATACAGTGTCCATTTAAATAGGTGTAAAAAGTGTCCCTCCAAGTTGAAGGCACAAGGTTGAGGTCAAGGAGCTTGGACAGAGTCTCATTCTGCCATAATCTTATTTTAAAACGTGGTGGGATCAAAAAAACCTCTTGGTCTCCCTCTGCTTCTTTGGAAATGAGCACAAGTTTGAAGTGCTCCTCCTCCTCCCTCAGAAGACAAAGCAAAATGTCCCTCATCAGCCTGTAACCTGATGGAAACTCTCTCTGGGACACAGAGCAGCTTTTTAATGGTTTGTTTCTCCTCCTCTTCATCTTCTGTTTGCTTTTAAGAGAGGCCCTTTGAGTTGTTTACCACCAGTAGGAGCCCGGAGCTGGCTTGAAGCAGAAAGGACACACATTGCCATGCTCAGATCTTATCTCACCTGGCCTGTTTGCATTGAAGGCTGGACAAAAAGCAGCAATTTCCTAAAGGAAGGCAGCCAGGGTGACTCTAGTGAAAGAAGGAGGAAGTTCCTCTCTCCTGCCATTAGCAGATGCTGGATTCCTGCCCAGCCCACCAGTTGGATTCATCAGAGAAATTCAAGGTAACTCCTTCTAGAACTTCAAGGAGAAAAAATCTTTGGGAAGGCACCTGTGTCTCCCTTGCTGGAGGTCCCCTGATGGCTGGGAAGGTGGCACTGGGTCCAGGTGTCCTTCACCTTTTGGTTTGTTGGCCATGAATGATGCACAGGATGAACTATGAATTTTTTTTTCTCCCCAATTCACCAAGATTTGGAGATTTGGCATTTGCCTGCCCAGCTGTTTAACTCCCATAGGACCTCAAGGACTTGGAAATTCAAAATTATTCTCCTTTGGAATTCTTTTTTTCCCCACTCTCAACCCTAATATTTCAAAATGGTGATAAACAGACCCTGGCAAGTATCTGAAAACACCAGGACAATGTGCTTGGGTTTCTGAGCAGGACAACACCACATGACCTTGAATCCTTCAGTCCCAAGAGGGAGAGTGAAGAGCCTTGAGTGTGTGTTCCTTCAGGTGCCTGTTCATTTGGAGTCATAAAATCCTTGAGCTTGGGAAAAAAAACCTTGAAATTAAGGATCTGAGTGACCAGAGAGCCATGAGGTGTCTCCAGAGGTGCTAGCAGCTGGTGGCCCTCAGTGCTCCTTGGTCAAAAATTCACCCAGCTTGTGAAACCCAGAAGGGAGCAGAGAGTTGGGAAGGCCATAAATGTTATTTTCACCAAGAAATGAGACTGTCTTAAAATGACTCAGAGAATTGGTGGCTGCTTGGGGCTGGATTCACTTCAGGAATGGTCTTTGCTCCTCCTGACCAGTGTGGCATCTAGAGTGGGAAGAGTAGAGGGGTACCAAGGGGTGTCTCTGGTCGGCTGCCCAGGCACACAACTGGGATACCTCTTCCTGGGGAACAAACTAGTGCTGTGCTGTCTCTGAGCTCATTGCTGGGGGGGGTGTGTGAGGGTTTTGGGGTTTCCTGCTTCGAGAAGCAGCCTCTGTGGGGAGCCCCCCCTGCAGTGCTGGGGCAGCTCTGGAGTCCTCAGCACAGCAGAGCCAGGGACCTGCTGGAGCGGGGCCAGAGGAGCCCCAG